GGGCGGCGGGCCGAGTCCTCCGTGCTCCCGGCGTGGGCGCCGGGCCCCGCCCCTCTGCCGGGCCCAGAGCCTCGCGGAGCGCCGGGGCGGCTGCGGGGCACGACCAGCGGCCTTGGGGACGTCCGCGGCGGCCACCGGCTCTTGGCTGCTGCCCCGAGGCAGCTGCGTGGGCCAGACTCACTATGGGGCCAGGCAGCGGGTCCAAGTGCCCCGGGAGCGTCGCCTAGCAGCCTCGCTCCCTGGGAGGTGGGTCCTGCGTGCTTGTCTGCGTTTCACAGACAAGCAAACTGAAGCACAAAGAGATTAAGTCAATTGCCCGAGGTCGCACTGTTGGGAAGAGGAGGCTTTGAGATTTGAACCCATGCACACTGAAGCCAAGCTCTTCTTGCACTCTATGGTCTATTTGTACGCTTTGCCCAGAATCGTCTCAGCTGCAATCTAAGAGAGCTTACTGTGTGTCAGGCACTTTGCATTTAATAAAGAAATGCTTTTTGAGTTCTTACTCCTGTTCACTGTGTGCACTCGTTTGTTTATTCATCCACTGCACGAATGTTTCCTGAGTTCTTCTTATATGCCAGTATGTTTCTATTAAATTCAGACTCCTAGCGACTCTGTTTAGGGTTTCTGAGGAGAGGTTTGTGGATTTGAACTAACGACCTTGCGGTCCAGTGCTTTATCCTACAGCGCCACATATAATTCCACACTCATGTCCCAGGTGCTGTGCCCTACCTCTTGGCGCATTTATTCTATAACCAGCATTTCATGAGAGTATATGCCCCAGAGGTCGGGAGACATGCCAGCAGTATTCTCTCCCAGCCCTCAAGGCATTTTCTCCCTACAAAGAAGAAAGGAACAACTTTTTCACTTAACAAGCCTCCAAAACACAGGAGCCAGCCGTTTCAGGTGGGTTCCACTAAAAGAGAGAAAGGGTAGGAAAATGAGAAGAGAGGAGTCATGCACACATGACCTGAGCTTTGGAACTACTACAAATGCCAGGATTGTTGTTAAGTGGTGTCGAGTCGGTTTCGACCCATTGCGACCCTGTACAGGAGTTCCACGGAGTGCCTGGTGAGCTTGAACCACCGACCTGGTGGTTCAAACAACTTTGCAGTCCAGCACATTAGCCCACAGCGCCACACTATATGTATTATTTTTATGGCAGGTGCTGTGTTATAACCAAGGCACATCCATTATTTGCCACCATCCTCACAGCAACCACTTACTGTAGAAAGGTCCTATAGTTAAACTCACCCTGTGATGGGGCAGGCCCAGAGGTGTGCAGTGACATCTGCAAGGTCTCACAGTACGTTTGTGGGAGAACTGAGTTCAAACCCTGACTCCAGAGCCCATACATGAACCCAGGAGGATCCAAGGGAAGGTCCCAGGTCAGAAACTAGGTGATTTCTGGCAGGGCATTGGCATCTCTGGTTGTGTTACATTGACCAAGCTGGTTAATTTTCTGAGCTTCATTTCCTAATCTGTCCAAACCAAAAATGCAAGCCAAATCCACTGCCATTGAGTTGATAACTGACTCATAGCAACTCTAATTAGGGTTTCTGGGACAGTAAATCTTTCCAGGAGCAAACAGTCTCATCTGTCTCCCTCGGAGCAGCTGGTGGGTTTGAAGTGCAGATGTTGTGATTAGCAGTCCAATACCTAACCCACAGCACCACAGCACTCTTTGTCCAAAAGGGATTCTAATTATTGACAACCCTTACCCACCTCAACCCCTCAATCTGCTGCCCCCATCTCAAGCCAGTGTTGTGAATTTCTAAGGGGCCATAGTGACACAGTGGTTAAGTGCTCAGCTACTAACCAAAAGGGGTGGGCTGTTGGAGGCTACCAGCAGTTCCTCAGGAGGAAAAAATGCTTGCTCATCTGTTCCTGTAAGTATTACAGCCTTGGAAACCCTATGGGGCAGTTCTTGTCTATCCTATAGGGTAACTGTGAGTTAAAATGAACTCAACAATAGTAGGTTGGGTTTGGTTATTCAGATACCATTTCTTAAAGTGTTTAAGGAAAACAAACAAAAAGGCAAAGCACATTATCCACATGCATGGGGTTACCTTGGTCTGAGCAGAAACAGTGTGATGGTCCATCAGATTCATATGGCCAAATTTCATGTATTTGCATCATATCCTACACATCTAGTCACCAAACCCACGTTCTTCAGCAAGTTTAGGATGAATAACAACTACAGAACAACAACAAATTCTAATAGAGAAATGAGCAAAGGACATGGACAGTTTGCAGAATTGGAAATACATATGGCTTTGAAATATTTGAAAAGATGCTCTACTTCACTCTTTATAAGAAAAGCAGAATTAAAACCATAATAAGCAATGACAATATTTTTAAAGTTTAGGCAAATGTAGAGAGGGATGCAGGGGTCTCATACATTGCTGGTGGGTGTATGAATTAGCTGTGGAGCTTCCAATGTCAATTTGGTGACTATCAAGGCAATATAATGAACAGAACCTTTTGGTCCAGCAATTCTACTTGTAGGAACACATTTGCACAGATGTGCAAAGACCTGCTGCGCCAGGAAATGAAGTCTAGCATTCTTTGGATGGCAAGAACTGAAAACCACCTGCATGTTCATCATTCAGGATGACTCCATACAACTGAATCTCGTGCAGACACTAAAAATACTGTGTTTGCCATATGTGTATTCATGAAGTATAATTTTTTGAATGGACACTGAGCTTCTGCTCATGGTGATGGTTAAGCAATAGGAGGTTGTTGTTAGGAACCATCTAGTTGATTTTCGACTCAGAGCAATCCTATGTGACAGAGCAGAACTCTGCCCCATAGGGCTTTCCAGACAGTTATTACTGAAGTACATCAATAAGTCTTTCTCCCATGGAGCCACTAGGTGGATTCAAACCTCCAACTATTCAATTACCAGCCAAGTGCTTGATAGATGTGCCACTAGGGTCCATTGAACAACATGATAAATAGTGTTAGTATTGTTGAACTCTACATTGGGAGTCTGTTGAAATGTCAAATGTTTAGTTGCACACATTTTTACCACAATAAAATAAATTATAATAATAATTGTTGCTGACTTATAAGTTTTCAAGAGGGAGTATAGTTTAAAAGTGTGTGGGGAAAGATAGTTTTCATTTTGTCTAGATGGGTCTGGGAAAAAGAGATGGGGATAAGATTCTTATGATTCAATAGTGAGTAATTATTATCATGACAAATTGTGACTGTCACAATTGTAAAGATAGAAGTTTTATAACAAAAAAGTTTTGTTACGGTCAAGAAACAGAGGACCCTAGGACTATCAAGGGAGAAGAGCACAAGCGGAATGTGCAGCCCTATCCAGAGAAGCAGCGACACCAGAGATGGAGGCAGAGATGGGGACATGGAGAGAAGGAGCAGCTGAGGGCTCTAAATTCTTGGAAAGAAAGGGATTGAGAGCTGGCGGCCAGGAGGCAGGCTTGCAGAATGTGCTCTTTGGTTTTTAAAATTGTTATATATGCCTGAGTGTTTAAAAAAAAAAAAAGAGCTAAAATGAATAGAGAGAAATACTGTTAACTGATGGTTCATGGAGGGGATTATAATCATTATCCTAGTGTGGCACTGTGGGTTAATGCACCAGACTGCAAAGCCGTTTGAACTGCAAGGTCGGCCGTTCAAGCTCACCAGCTGCGTCTCGGAAACCCTATACAGGGTAGCAGCTATGTGTCAGAACCAACTCGACGGCACTTAACAACAACAACAACGAAACGCAGTATATGATTTGTTGCATGTAAACCTGATGGTCGGCCCTGTAAACTTTCACTCAATTCATTGTAAAAACTTTTTAATAAAAACAAACAAAACCCACTGTTGTTTTTGTTACATGCCGTCAAATCAGTTTCGACTCATAGTGACCCTGTACAAGGTTTCCGAGGAGTGGCTGGTAAGCTTGAACCACTGACCATGCGGTTCAAACTGACCTTGTAGTCCAGCGCATTAGCTTACAGCGACACACCAGGACTCCAAGCACTTAACAACATACAGTTTGTGCTTTTTTAGCCAAATGCATAAAAAACTACTCAGGACTTTGCTGTTGTTGTTAAATGCTGTCAAGTCAGTTGTGACCCACAGCGACCCTATATAGGGTTTCCAAGAAGCGGCTGGTGGGTTTGAA